GCTTTATAAAAGTATAAAAGCTCTCATAAAGTATTTTTCTGAGGTCTGTCTTATCAGGTAAATTACTGTACACAGTGTATTCATTAATTTTCATTTTCATGTAGTAAAGGCTCTATGCCTTCATAAAGGACGTACTTTTCCTTTGTTTAAGGGTATTTGGGCAGTTTATTCTCTGTTATATTCTCAAGTAAACAATACATACAAGTACAGTACAGTATTTTCTGAGGAAACATTCGTACTTATTTTTTTTAACCCCATTCCCGATAACCCAGAATTTTCACAAACTCGGCCATCCTTCGGTCCACATTAGGCCGAGTTTTCGAGGTTCTACTGTATTATTACGATATACAAAACTGTATTTCTAGAGTTTTCTACAGTGTGCAGAGCTAGAAATCTGTAAAGGTAACATTTTGTAAAAAAAATAAATCTGTCCGAGGAATTTTTAAAATTACTAAATTGAAAACAGTAACTCCCGAATAACATCTTAGTCTCAAGGTTGTAAAAGGCATGCAGAAATTCTGACATCATTTTTTGCTTTATAGTGGTATGCATATGGTTTGCATACTGAACGGCGGATTAAGCGGTAAGTGAACTATGAGGGCACATAGGGCCCTGAAGGGGCTCCTGCAGTCTTTAAAATGCTACTGAAAAAAGGGATTGCGAAAACGCAGAAGATAGAAATAGTCCAGAAAAACGCTTCGATATATATAGATACATGGAAGTAATAAATGATATAGCTTTATGGCCAACAATATTAACAGATGCTATTATTGATCATATTCTTAAAACAAACCAAAAAGTATAGAAAAGGAATTTCTTAATAAACGGAAAAAAAAAGTTCAGATATGGAAATAAATAAAACACCAAATAAAGGAAGTAACTTGACACCCGAAAAATTATTTAAAATACAAATTTACAGTGTTCTTGACATTCTACTGTGTCAAATAGACTGGCGTTATGAAAAAATGAAAACTATCTGTGATGAGTTTTGCTTTCTCTGTGGCTCGTCTTTACAATACATAAGTGTTGCTGACTTAAAAAAAATCGGCTGCAGATCTCTCTATTAAATATAGCAAAGATTTAAAAAAGTAACTTCACAAGTGAAATTGAAAGTTTTAATTTTGAAGTAACGACTCTTATACAAAATATAGAAACTGCATCTCCGCTTAATATTCTACAGGCTCTTCATGATTTTGGTTTAATTGAGTCTTACCCAAATATCAATGTCGCTCTTCGAATATTTCTAACTCTTCCCGTTTCTATTGCTTCGTGCGAGAGAAGTTTTAGC